TATTGTTTGTATTAAAATCTAATTTATTTTCAAATGTGGTCACATTAGTTGTATTATGTAGTGTCAAATATATTTTTTTATGAACATTAACTCACAGTTTCTCAAGACATATCTTTTAGTGTTCTTGCATATACATATACATATTGAATTCTCAGCTTATTCATATACAATGTGATAGGCAATAATATGGAGTGAGCTATCAAATGATTTTGTATATCATTAGAAATAATATTTTTATGTATTGTATTTTTCTTAAATCAACGACTTTATTTTTATTTTTTTGTTTGATTTTTGTTTACTTTATTTTTAAGAACGTTTAAGTTATATATTAGAAATGCAAAATTTTTATTAGGATACAAGTATATACGAGCAAACGAATATATTTTGATAAAATATTATTCATTGAACATTATTAAAATATCAAATACAAATATCAAAGGATAAACGATTAATACAAACACATGTAAATTTATTTTTCAAAACAAAATCAAACATATTTAACTATTCAGTTCGTGGTTCATTCCTGCATGATCGCCTATTATGTCCCTTTTGACCACAAGTACTACAAGAATTCTTGTTCTTCTTTCCATATAGCTCATTGAACATCTTATCACGAAACTTTTTTGGAGGCCTACCAGGTAGTTTTTTGAACTTTGAAGGCTTAACTATTTCATTCTCTACATATGCAGGCACATTCCAATCTTTTCAATCAGGTAATGGATTGATTGGATTAGCATATGTAACAAGTAATGTATTTTGCTTGTAAAGGTCAGAAAAATACGGTTGAGGATCAAGAAATTTCTTCTTTAAAATAGCCCAAGCGTGCGAACATGGTATTTCATCCACTTGAAATCTCCTACATGTACAAGTTTTCCTTTCAAGAAAAACAATAAATGTTTCCCCTTCATAACGAACAATGTGCACATAATTACTTGTCGCAACTACCTATTACACAAAGTAAAAAGGAAGTTAAATCATACCAATTATACAATCTTTACTTTTTACTGGATGAAATGCAAAATACAACACTTTTATGGAAGCATAAACATACCGTCATACGCAATAAAAGTTCTTCATTTTCAGCGAGCATTTCTTGTGCTTTACCACAAAGTGTCGTGAATGTATTAGAAGCAGAATATGGTTTTTGAAATTCCATCGACCAAACATTTGTCTAACTTCCTCAAGAAAATCATATATAGGTGATTCTCTTGCTTCGACAAGACATGCATTTATGCATTCAGCTATGTTTGATGTCATCACAGTGCCTCGATCAACTGTTGCATACACTCTTTCCCATTTGTCATAACCAGCCAATTCCAAATAATTCTTCACCCTAATATCAACATGTTCTACTTTTTTCATCAGTTCATTAAATTCAGAATGTTTATATGCCTTTGTCATTGCATAAAAAATTTCTGAAAGACTGTCATGTGACTTTTTGTAAAGTGTTTTCACGTTCTTCCAAAGATGAAACGTGCAGGCATAATGTGGTATATTGTATGTCCTCAAAACTGCTTTTATAATACTCTCGTTTCTGTCGGATACAACACACATTTTATCCTTTAAACCATGAGCTTCTCTAAACTGTTCCAAAAATCAAGTCCAAGATGCATCATTTTTCAAATCAATAATACCGTATGCTAGGGGCAATATATTTCCTGAATATACACAATCCAAACATTAGGATACATATCGGCAAATAAAACAAATACATTTTTAGTGAATATAATAATGTGTGTAATTCTTTATAAAAATATAAATATCTAATAGTTACCTGCTCCATCCAGTGTGCTTGCAGACACAAATGTGCCATTATAAGTCCCTCTGAGATGTATGTTGTTTACTATAACTATTGGCTCACAACATTCAAAACATTTTATGAAAGGAAACAAAGCTATAAAGACATATAGAAATTCATTTTCTTCCGTCTTTCTCATTCTTATATGCGATCCAGGATAAGTGGTGTCCAATATATATAAATAATTGAGTAATTTACTATATGAAACAGACAATGTCCCCCTTAAAGTATTTATTGCCTTTTCCCCTAGCATTTCATGCCACAGAGTAGGATATATCTACGCCAAGTTCGAGTCTAACATCAACTTGTATGTCTTTCGGCGTCAACTTTCTTTTATGATCAACTAGCTTGGGTTTTATTATACCTCCAACAAGATTGCTTGTTGCTTGTCTCTGACTATACACCTTATCTTTTAATGGACATGTATGCTCATCTACAAACTTTCTAATTCTAAACATTCCCGATTTATTGATATTGGAAGCTTCATTATCCATCCACAATCTTTAGATACACAAACAAGTGTATAACTGCTCGAATTATAAAAGAAAATAAACAAAACAAATTAATACATGATATTATATGGAATAATTACTATAACAATAAAAGATAAAATCTATATAAATAGAAAATACCTTACTAAACTTAATCTTTCTGTCTTTCACTGAAATCTATCATCAATGACATATTTCATCATCACAGCTTTCAAAGTACGTTTATTCTTAGAAACTTGATCCTCAATGTCTTCTTTACGATTCATATTGCAGATAATAGAGTTACTTAACTCAGTACTGATTAATGGTGCACTAATAACTATTGTTTGGTTATCAGTAGTACTTTCTCCGTTTATACTATACATGCCAATATCTTCTTCATACTAATTTCTACAATTTATATCACGATCGTTCACAAATACAGTTACACAAATGGGCTACTTTGCGAATTCTCGAGCTTCTTTCTTCAATGAGACATATACTCTCATTCCCATATCGTTGTGTATCTCCAAAGGTGCAATGCTACCTTCTATTTTATACTTAAGTTTCAATTTGTTATACATCAAATCTACCCCAATCTGATTAGCAACTTCATCAACTAAATCTTTATATGATGCATATTCTTTAATCATAATTGCCTCAGTTATGTAATCAACATAGTAATTATTTTTTAGTCCAATGTCTAGAATGCTTTATTATAAAACTAATGTTTTCCATATATACTTTCTAGTAAAAAAAATCACATAGTCCATACTAGATATGAAAATAATGACATTACCATTAATTTGTATCAAGAATACAAAACAATAAAGTTACAATAGTAAATCAAATAAACGATTCGAACATTATTACTTGTCTAAACAATTGATGCATAAAGTATGTATTTTGTTGGATATATAATTTCGTATACAAAAGTTTAAAAAACAATTTCAAATCAGAATATTATTTATATATATCAATACAAAAGTTAAAGATAGTTGCATTGATTAAAATATATAATAATTCAAAATGCAAATACATACGAATAATTATTATACAAACAAAATCGCATCAAATCACAAACAAATACAAAACATATAAGGATTAATTAACTAAAACATACCTGACTTTCGACTTTTCGTTTGTGTTTATTTTTCAAAAATCGTTTACCCAGTTTATTCTCAAAAACAATAAACTCGCAATAATTTATTTTTTTTTGGATGAACATCATGAATAATGAGCGGATATATCATTCAGATTTTGAAAAAATTGTAACTGATGTAGGAGTTTTAAGCATCTGTTACTTTTTATAGTTTTTTTCTCCCCTAAATAGCTACAGTTTGTTATATAAATTATGTATTCTTTTTAATTAAACAAAATAATTAAAATATAATTAAAATACATAATAAGGTAAAATTTTGACATTATCACTAAATATCGAAAGTGTTGACACTATACCCTATTAAATACTAAAATAATATCATTTAAAAAAATTTCCCTATTTTATATGCTAAAAAATAATGGGAATGGGTTGTTGATTGTTGGAAATGGATATGGGCTGAAAATTGGGAATGTTGGGCTGCTAAAATTTATGTGAAAATAACTTAAATACACAACTATAATTTTTATATTCTCTAATTTTCCCTACTTTTTTTAAATATTACATAATTCCCTATTTTTTTTATTTTAGTATAAGTTTTTAGATACATTACACTCTCTCTCCTATAATACACATTTACCAATTTTAATGCCTATTTTTTCTCCATTAAAACACTCAACCTCTTAAATCAGTTTTTGAATTTTAAATTTTTTCCATTTAAACACTCAACCTTTTAATCAGCTTTTTAATTTTGAATTATTAAATTTAATTAAATTTAAATAAAAGAACAAATTTTGAAATTTTGAATTTCAAAATTCAAAAAATATAGAAGCAGGGTAACTTCCACTGCATTCTACCGTTCTTACCAAAGTCACCTTGCACTTCTTTTTTTTCCTTAATCGTCTTCATCCCACTATTTCTTCATAACTTTGAATCTTCTCAACCCAACAGATTTTTCTATTTTCTTCTTTATATTCTTAATCCATATTCGACTATTTCTTCCTAATATTGAATCGTAAGAACCCAGACCCTTTTTATAGTTAATCCATCATCAATTCGTATATTCTTCTCTTTTTCGTTTTTGTTAATTGTTCTATTACTTCATAGTAATGGATCCGTCAATCAATAGAAGGATATATGATTCCGATGATGATAATTGGAAAGAAAATAGGAAAAAGTCTTTGCATGATCCTATGAATCTTCAAAAGGATTCAAACAAAGACCATGGCGAAACATCAAAGGTTGTAAAAATACAACCAAAAAGGAAAAAAGAAGCAGCAAACACTGTTGTTAGGCCTACATTGTCTCGGGTTAGTATATTGGTACTTAAAAATGGTGTTGTTTAAATTAGTAAAATTTTTAAGGAATCAAGTGTGCTTGCTGATACATTTTAAAAAGGGTGTATAGTGTTTTAGATGGTCAACTGATACGTGAATTTGTTGTGTTTCATAATATTTTATATGTATCATTAGGTTTTTGAAAATTATTATAATGTATCATTCAATAAGTGTAGTAAAGTATAATCTGTGCTTGATGATACATGTTGAATCTGTGTGTACATTGTTTAGTAAATGTAATGATACATGTAGTAGCTATGTATCACATGTTCTGCATGTAGTATGAATTCCTGTATGATATCATGTATCAATAAGGTATTAGTTGTTTAGTTGATTTACTCATACATGTTTTGAAACTTGTTATAATGTATCATTCATTAAGTTTAATAAATGCTTAATCAGATATAGTTGATGATACATATAGATTCTTTGTGTATGTTGTTTAGTCGCTGTTTATGATACATGTATTAGACATGTATCACATGTTATAATGTTTTATTTAATTCAATGATACATGTTATAGACATGTATCACATGTTTTTCATATAGTATGAAATTCTGAAAACTGAAACCATGTATCATTAAGTTATTAGTTGTTTTATTTAGTAGTTATATTTCTATATCGTTTTAATTTGCGGTTTTATTTTCAAATTGCAGCCACTGAAGTACAAGATTAAAAAGATACCAACACATCCCATAAGGTTTGCTGTCAACTTTAACAACAATTTCCTAAAGGACTTTGAAAAATACGTGGGGGATAATGTTATCCAAATGTTTAAGGATACAATTTTTGGACCCTTTTTAGACATCTCTAAATGTAATTTTCAGGGCCAAATAACTAAGTGCTTATTGCTTTTAGAATTGGAACAAAGCAACCCTAATATGTTGCATATTAGACATTCCAACGGGTGTGTCCTGAAATTTGGTATAGATGATTTTGCATTATTAACAGGACTTAAGGTCAGAGGAAATACCAATGATTTCAAATACCCAGAACAAACTAATTGTATGCTTTTTAAAAAGTATTTCCCTGGTGCAGTCAATAGTGTTACAAAGCATCAACTAGTTCAAAGGTTTAAGATGGGTAATTGGGAGAGCAATCAGGATGCACTCCAAATGTCTATGCTGTTCTTTATTCATACATTTGTATTAGCTACTATTGATAACACAGCGATATCTATTGTCGACTTTCTAATGGTTGAAGATGGTAGATATCAACATTTTCCTTGGGGTCAGCTATCATTTTCCAAACTAATTGGTTCACTTAGACAGGATTTTGACGTTAGTAAAAAGTTGTACCGATTATATGGGATGCCATATGCACTAAATGTTTGGATATACGAATGTGCATCCAATTTAAATTCAGAAATAGCGGTGAGAGAACGCAATGTCATCCCAAGAATATGCAATTGGAGAGTTGTGTCTGAAAAGGCAAAGTTTGAAATGCTTATGTCCACCATTTTCCAAAAGGTAAAATTTTATTTTTGTATATGGAATATCGTTATTTATGTCTTTGTGATACATTATGAATTATTACTGTATCTAACAGTTAAATTATCTTATGTGTTTGTGATACATTTAGAATGCATGTTCAAACATTGTCCCAACAGCAGAGGAAATTGAAGCTTTTGATATTGCTCAAGTTGAACATGCTCATTCTACATCAATACCATTAGTACAACCAAACGAGCAAGATGATTTAGATGATTTCTCCACAAGACCGCCAGAACAGTTATTGAGGACATATTCTAGAGTGTCTGATACATCTCCTCCACCACCGCCAAAAAGAAGAAAAAAATCGATTATTCAAAAAAAGAAGGTGTCAGAACAAAAACAGCCTGATCAATCAAATGTGTCTCCGACACCGGATGATGATGTACATGTTTCCATGTCAAGTCTGCCTCAACATTCGAATGTTGATGATGTACATAGTTCTGTTCCACAAGTGTCACCGAAATCGGCTGCTGATGTACATGGTTCTGTTCCAGACGTTTCTCAGAACCCGGCTGCTGATGTTCATGGATATGCAGATTCACAGAATGTCAACAATATGATTCCTCATATTGAAGAGTTGAAAGGATATTTGAAAACTTACGTAAGTAAATTATTTTGTAATTTTTAAACAAACTTTTATTTATCCTAAATGTATCTATTATTTTTAGGTTGACAAGAAATTTGAGGAATTGATTATTTTGATAAAAGCAAATCACTCCCAGCTGATGCAATCTATTAGCAAAGAGAACATCAATTTTCAGGCTGATACAAGCACATTTCAGTCTGACAAATAAACATCTCAGCAAATACCGGTTGATCTCGATGATATGGGTGGTGTAGCTGAGGATGGTGGTGGTTTTTCTGGTAAAAATGGTGAGCATCATATCGTCGACGATGCAGGGGATGTCGATGTGGATGGTGTTGGTGTTGCCGTAAATGAGGGTGAACCAATAGTCAGTGATCCAAAGGTAATGTTTATGATACATTGGGTATGTTGTGTATCATGCACATATAGTCAATGTTTTGTATCATGATCATTTTTTTTCTCATTTTATATTCTGTCATGTATCATACATATTTAATCAATACTATGTATCATGTGATTGTTATCAATGTTACGTATCAGCACAAATTATATTAACAGTTTTTATTTCAAAACTGCATATTCAGGATAGTGACGCACATCAGTCGCACCAAGATTTAAATGAACATATCATGGACTAAGCCGTTGACGACAATGTTCATCACAACATCCCTCATGTGTTGCCCGAAAAAACAACAACAAGATTCATCGGTACATTTTTCAATTTTGATTTATGACATACAATTTCATTACACACAAATTTATTCTAAAAATCATTACATCATATTATACAGGATTCTTCAACTTCAACAACAATATCGCCATCAACTCAAGCAGCAATAGAAGCGCTTATCAAAGATTTGGGTAAAGATGCTACCAATGCTAGACCATTATATTCTTACGATCCAAAGAATATAACTAGCAGCCAGTACTTGTTGACCGACAGTCAATTACCCACTGAAATTCCAATAACGGAGATTGCTGTTAAAACTGATGCAGTCACTCCTGTGCATAGAAATAGAATGCCTTCGAGAAGGATTCAATCTCCATATTGTACTTCTTTTGGGTCAAGCGAAAAGGGAAAAGAGAAATTGAAGGATATGGCTCGACTCCATTTCCCGTTCGAAGGATGTGGCATTGCAGATAAAGTTTCACCGAAACTGATTGAGGATTACATGAATTGGTTGTTGAGGGGGCTTCTAAAAATCATAACAATAAGTAAGTTTTATACATTTTTTTTCTCAGTGTTAGGCGTAATCATTTTATATACAACTAATTCATTATACTTTGTTATATAAAAACTGTAAATAATTGAGTGTTATGTATCATGTACATACATTGAAAACTTATGTATCATATATGCAGGAACGCATCGGACGATAAATACAGATCAAGATCTTGTTCTTTTGGATTTACGATGATGGACTTTGTTGTTGCTTTTCCAATGAACAAGAATTGGTTTTATGCCATGTCACAGCCAAACAAGTGTTGGTCTGATGAGGTAAAATATTAAACTATTTATGAAATATGTATCAGTCATAACTATATTATAACATCATGATACATTATCTATAAGTATCATACTATTTAATTAGCAATGATACATTATGTATAAGTATCATACTATTTAATTTGCAAAAGTATCATACTATATTCACATAATTATATTTCTTTTTTTATATTGTTTAGATGTAAATAATTTCTTACTCTGTTTTCATTTTGTTTATAGCACATCGATGTGATTTTTTACTACCTTCGTAAAAAATCAAAACTTTGCAGCATGGATCAATACAGATACACAACAACCCACTGTTTGTTCATGTCACATGTAAAAAACTGTTATGATAGATATTACATGGACGATGATGATGATAGTCTTACTACACAAGAACATATTGATCGCGCTTCAGTTGTATCTGTACATGAGAGGTCAATAATTAACATCATCAAAGGGTTTGGAATACCAGCTGCTTTACCATGGCATCTTGTAGATGAGGTCTACATCCCAATTAACTGTGATCAACAATTCCATTGGGTGTTGGCTGTTGTTGAGTTGAAAAACAGGTTGATAAGGGTTTTTGACTCATCAATTAGCACAAGGAAACAAACAATTCCTCATGAGATCAAGATGTTGTCTAAAATGTTTCCTTCATACCTACTTGACAGTGGATTTTTTGAAGAAAATGAACGCACAAAATTTGCTGATTGTCAAGCATATAAAGACAACAATAATGGATCACTTCTGGAGCCTCAAGTTCCTTTCATGATAGAATTTGCACAAGACATCCCTACACAGGAAAGCGATAGCCTGTAAGTATCAAGAATTTTTTCAGTTGCCCTTTTTAATGTATCATTAAGTTTTTAATTTATTCTGTATTTTTTGTAGAGACTGTGGGTTATATGTTACTGCATTTGCCGAGTATATCAGTGACCAAATCAATATATCTTATGCTGATTTTAATTCTGATTACCTGCGTCAAAGATATGGAGCATTGCTGTGGAGTTATGGAAGTGAGAAGGCTAAGTGCGGATATGTTAGCGACAATGATGATCCACCAAAATCCAGGGGCGTAGTCACACCACCACCAGAAGAAGATTTAGTTCACATAGCGTAGCATTTCATGATAAAACAATGTTTTAATGTTATATTTATTATTTTTATATGTTATTGAACAACTATTTTTATCCTTTTTAATGTTATTTTTTTGGTTTTGTCAATTTCCATGAATATTTTTTTCACATTACGTAACAAATTTGTTTATATTGAAGATATAAATATCAAATGATAGACGTAAAGATTTTTAAATTTTTAATTAAAAATAGACATAATAAATATACTGACAAAACCAGGTTTAAATCATTTAATAAAGTATAATCAAAGTATTTATAATCAAACATAGACATAAAGATTTTTAAATTTTTTATTTAATCTAGATGATACACTGCCAAAACCAAATGATACATATGTACCAGAAACACACTAAAAATAACTGATACATTGGCCAAACCATATGTATAATGTATTGGCCAAACCATATGTATAATGTACAATATGTTACACTCTAATCCTTAAATTTTACAAGATATTTAGGTAAATTGAATAGCATATTCATATGAATTGCTATTATTTTTTTAAAGGAAAGTTATTTACTGTATATTTCAATAAAAGCATATCCAAAAAAGCATTACACAAGTTAAATTATATAAATTCACATGATACATGATTTATAGTCATTCTAAAGTACTCAATAACATTAACAATATATTTGTATTTTTTATCTAATGGAGATGTATCATTGTGCAAACCAATGATACACACTAAAAGTACATGATACTTTATATAAACAATGTGTACAAAAAATACACAATAAATGTACATGATACACTAGATTAACCATATGTATCATGTACATTATGTTATCTTACTGTAGCATAAGATTTATATATTCAAAACAAATATTGACACAAGTATTTTTATCAACACCAATAATAAGAAAGTATTTATAATCATAAGCACGACTTCAAATGTAATTACCACATGTTTGTACGTTTATTTATCTAAACACAAAGTGTTCAATTTGCAGTCGTAATTAAAACTGAAATTCATTTAAATGTTTACGTGATAAATTATTCTTTATATCATAGAAACATTACGACAAATTCACTTCTCTTTTGGGTAGAAAGTACAAGTTCTTCTGTTGTGCCCTTCTTGTCCACATTGTCCACGACAATTTGTGTTCACCGAAATCTTTTCATCTGCATTCTTTCTTCTTCTTTTTCTTGGTCGTCCAGATGATCTTCTGTATCTAGGTGGATACACAGTTTCAGCTACCACGTGTTTAGGATCTGACCAATCTTTCTTATCTGGCATTGGCACCATTGGAATTTCATATGTTTTTGCCAACGCATCAGGCTTGTAATAATCAGAGCAATACGGATTCATATCGGTGACATTCTTTTTTTTCAATACAGCTATTGCATGTGAACAAGGTATCTCATCTAGTTGAAATCTACCACAACAACATACTTTCCGCTCAAAACAAACAATATATCTTCTTCCATTTTCATAAACCGAGAAAATAAACTCAGATGATGGAACAACCTGTGTACATTAAAAATTTTAAATATATAACTTTTAAAAACCAAATCATGTTAAAAAAAAGCATAATGATACACAGAATTAGATATATATAATATAAAGTATCATATAATGATACATACCTCCATTTTTGAACTTTTAGCTGCGTTTATAATCAACAATTCCTCAAATTTTCTACCTAATGTGTCCTTTGTGTATGAGGCTACTTCTCTGTTTTTGCAATGCCAAGATCCAAAAAGAATCTAACCTCTTCCAAGAATTCTAATATAGTTAATTGGCGTGCTTCAACAAGACAACCATTGATACATTCTGCAATGTTTGAAGTCATCATTCTACCTCTGTTTACTGTTGCATGAACTCTTGACCACTTTTCGTAACCTGCATATTCAAGGTACTCCTTAACCCTGTGATCATTTCTATCAACCTTAGTCATCAACTTATCAAAATCTTCCTTTCTATATGCCTTGGCCATAGACTAGAATAGATCACTTATGGTCTTTCTGCTCCTTTTGAAGTTTCCACATACATTCTTCCAAAGATGCCAGATGCATGCATAATGAGGTACATCGGGGAACACAATCCTTACACTCTTCATGATACTCTCATTTCTATCTGAAACAACACACATATCTTTTCTATCGCCAAATGCATGTTTGAACTGTTCAAAAAACCATTTCCACGAACAATCACTTTCGGTGTCAACAACACCATATGCCAATGGAAATATGCAACCTGATTACACACACATTATATTATTTGATACTTAATATATAAAAAGACATCATTACTATAAATAAAAAATACCTGCGCCATCAAGTGTGCTTGCTGATACAAATGTCCCTTTGTAAGCTCCACTCAGATGTGCACCATCCACAACAACTACTGGTCTGCAGTATTTAAATCCCCTAATGAATGGTCTTAAGGCGATGAACAGATACATAAATTCATCCTCTTCAGTCTTATGCATTCTTATATAAGAATCTGGATACACAGTTTTTAACATGTGTATGTATCGCGGCATCCGTCTATATCCAGCAGATGGTTTTCCTCTAATCATGGAGAGTGCACGTTCTTTAGCACGCCATGCTTGCTGATAAGATATTTCAACACCATAATATTCTCTAATATCATCAATTATATCCCTTGGTGTATAAATTCGTTTATAATTGACCAATTTTGGAGCTGTCACTCCACTTACAAATCCCACTGTTGCTTGGACTTTGGTTAATACCCTCTCCCTCATCGGACACGTATGTTCACTATTGAAATTTCTAACAATGAATATATCAGATTTTTTCCTGCACGACGCCTTCATAGTCCAACCACATTTGTCTGAAAAGCATACCAACACATAGCTGCGTACATTTTTTAAGCATATTAATACACATATCAAATACATCATATATAATATATTCAACAATAATGTTTAAATTAATCAAACAATGAATCACACAAAAAGTATCAAACAATTTTTAAGAAAAGTATCAAACTTTAATGAAATTTATCCACTATTTGTGATATGACTGTTTAAAATGATACAGTCCTTACTATATCAGTAGTAGTACTTTCAAGTATCAAATATACTTATTTCAATGTATCAAAAACAAATTCCTGAAATGATGATACATTAGATTATAAAATAACATATGAAACTTGCAGGTTTTCATATAGAACAGTAATGTTTCACGTACTAATTAAATTATAAAACAACACATGATACATTAAAATATCAAAATACTGTCATACCTTTGTTGATCAGACCTCTTCACTTTGCAGTTGAAGTTGTTCTTTATCTTATATTTCGTCATCACATCTACAAGTGTTGCTTTATCCTTGTATATCTGACCTGTCTTCACATCAACAATATCTGAATTGATTATATCATTTGCTACTCCAACTTCTGAATTTTCATGTGTCTCAAATAAGCTATTTTCAACTATTGCCAAAGCCTGTGTATCATTTGTTGTGCCTTCTACACACGTTATTTCTCCACTTCTTCCATCAAAGTTATGTACAGTACCACTATTCTTCTCAATTGTGTCAATACATAATGGATATATTGAAAATCCAGGCTCGTTTTTTTTCAGTTCAAAATATAGTTTAACACTCATATCGTTCTTAAGTTTCATCGGACAGGAGTTACCTTCTACAATGTATCGAATTTCAATTTCTTTCCTTGATACATCAATGTCCAACTCGGCCGCAATTGCTGCTTTGAGATTAGAAAACGAAATTGAATCTCCAACAACGATTCCATCAATTTTGTAATTTTCATACTGCAATTCGTTCACCCAAATTCTGGAATGTCTCATCAAAATCGAAGTATTCATCTTCAAAAACCCACTGCAACAACAAAAAAATTTCGGCAACTCCAATTGTTTTCTAAATAACTGATACAATCTTTGATTTTCAAATTATGAAATTAATATCCAATTAAGTGCTGATTTAATGCTGATTAATGATCTGTTACCACAATTTAAGCTATTTTAGTAACAGCTTTAAATTGTCCGTTTTTATCCCCTATTTTTTCTTAACAATTTTAAGTTACTATGTATCATTTACCATGTATCACAACTTTCTAAAGTATCACGGCTCAGCAATTTTAAGGAATTTTTTGTAATTATTAAACTTATCGGGACAGAATGTAATTATTGAATTACACTATGGGATTCCTTAAATTTATAGAAATGGAGAAGTGGGCTGAAATTTTGAAATGAAAAAGCCCAAATGGGTTTAAAGTGCGTAAGGAGAGATGTGAGATTGGGATTTAACAAATAGCCGAATTGAGTTAAATTGACTAATTTGACTAAGTCCTAAATAAGACGAATTAATATTAATTAATTAATTAACGAGTTTCTTAATCTTAACAAAATATAAAAATTTTAACTTTATCATAAATTAATAACTAAAAAAAATATATGCCAACTTAAAATAAACTAATTTAATAAGATACTCAACTAAAATAAAATCTTTTGAGATGATTTTCGAATATTCACAAAATATATTAATTATATATAATTATATAGAATATATAAATTATTTAAAATTATGAAAAAGTGACGTAACTATTTAAAATAACTAAAAAACTATATTTATTATTATATTTTTATTTTGAAATTCTTGTAAAACTAATTATTTTAAATCGTTTGAAATTTAAAAAACTCGATAATTAATTTATATATTAGAGGGCCAATATTGAATGTCAAACACTAGTTATACCACATAGACGAAATACAGTAAGAATTTTCCATATATGATGTTATGACTTAGATTATTGTGAGAATGTAGCAATTAGTATAGGTTGGGCATTGAATAGTGGGTTGGGATTAAGTAGTACATCTTTTATAGGTAGAAAATTGTATTAAATACAAGTATCAAGGCGAGGTGTATATGTGGAAAATTGGATTAAATAAATACAAGTATTCAAGAAGAAGAGGTGATGTATATGTATATGGGATTTTAACAAATTAAATAATTATATAGGAGATAACAATTAATATTTTCTTATAAGAAATTTCTTTCAATATTATTAGAATATCTTCATGCGGCTTTATTAATGGAAAAAATGTTAAGAAAATTCCTATCTTATTAATTTTTATCGAAAAGATTTCACATTTTAAGGTAAATTTTTGCAAGAAAATTCCCAAGTAATTTAAATGCGAAATATCAATTCTTAGGTAAATTATTTGGAGATTTTTAAATTCGTATGAAACAATTACCTAGGAAGATTTTATCATCGCATTCTTTTTGGCTGAAAAATCTATAAGAAAGTCCTGCAATTTCCATTTACAATCCCTAGAAAAATTCCCAAGTAATATACTCTTTTCTTGTAGTGAATTGGACATCCTTCGTCGGAAAAAAATATTATATATACAAGTAAATGTTACACGAAGTAGTTAAATAACATATTTTGGACACTTTTAATACAATAGTTTATTGTAGCCCAATTATTTTAGACCTTTTTAATGGGTTCTTTAACACCTTGAATGAGTTAGTAATCGTGTGTTTGAATCTCACTAGCAACAATTTTCTTACCCTTCTAAAAAGACTTTCTGTTCACTAGCAACAATTTCGCAAGACCTTTTGTTGTGCGATTTTCGGACACCCTTTTTGAAATTTCCGATTTCGCCACTGCATTTTGCCTATAGCAAGGCCTACAAGGGGTAGAGTGGCTCGAGTCGAATCATGATCGAACATGAGGCCTTAGTTAAAAAAATAAAGTTACACGTTATCAATTATAACTTTTGGCATGATGATAAACACTTGATCCTAACACAAACAAATCATAATAGAATAATAATAATTTTCGTATTTACTAAAAATACAAAAAATTTAATATTTTACCATAAATAAGATAATTTATTGCCAAGAAATATCTATACAACTTGTAACTACTGATTTTTTTTAAAAAAATCATTTCATTCTAGAAACATCATACATAATTGGAGGTATAATAATTTGATATGGAGACCTTAGTATCATTAATGACTATATTACAAGCCTAGGGGCAGATCTTGAATATGTCATCTGACCTTGATGAACCTAGCTAGTAGTTTTCATTTAGATATATATACTTAGTTGGTTCTTATGTTTCTATAAAAATTCTATATAGTTAAATTGTAATTTAGAAATATTAATATAAATATTGATAAAATAATTTTGCATAGAGTCATTATTACTATTTGTTATATAAATCTACAAATAAAGTAATATTTATAATACTTATTAAGTTTGACGTCAAATAAAATATGACTAGCTAAATAGAAATAGATAAATGTTTCTAATAAAACACAAAAAAATATGATAATATTTCAACCAGTGAAAAATGAACACTTGAAAAAAAAAATCATGAAACTTATGACGTATATGGGCTAGGCTCCGTTGGGCCGATCTGGCCTAATATATGATTTAATAGGATAAGACTTAGATTTTTGAAGTCCATTTAAGAAAAGAGGTTTTTAGTCTGGCTAGACAAGTCTGCTAGTTTGTGGGGTTTGATCAATATAGGTTGGGCCAGGTCGTGGGCTAAATAGAAAAATTTCAAACTTAATTATTATTCAAAATATCAAAATGTCAATATTTTAAAAAAATAATTTGTATCCAAATATTATTATTTTTCTTTCTTTTTATTTCTCAAAACAGTCCAACATTGCACCAATTTCTACACCTTTAACCGGTAAAAAAAAATATTTACTATCCCGTATCCTTTTATCTAGGTTTTAACGCAGATAATTTTTCTCCCATTTTTCGTGTTTTCACCCAGTCGCGGACCCACATCATACGCTGGCGGTGCACGTGCACCCGATAACTTTTGAAAAAATCATATGTATATACGTATATCTATTTTGAAAAACTGGTAGAAATTAAGATATAGACAACAGTACGCCCATAAAAAGCATAAAAGTACCCTAGTGCAATTGGTAAAAGCTAGAGTTACCAACCGTTTAGGGTTTGAATCCCACTTAAGCTTATTTTTATTTTAAATTTAGCTTAGACCTTATATTTGAGCTATGTTTATATTAATACTCCCAAAACCTTCAAATCCTTGGTTCGCCTCTGTTTTCACCTATTTCTCTTTTTTCATATTTTTGCCATTGTTAGAGAAAAACTAACTCTCATTTTCTCCCAATTTATTTCAGAAATCTCTCAATCAATTCAAAAAATCTCTCAATTAATTCAAGAAATGTCACAATTGATAAAGGTAATTTCTAAGTCACCAATTATATAGTGAGATTTATATCACCAATTATTTTGAATTTTGGACTTTATGTATTACAAATTTTTATTAAGGACATTGTATATCTTTTTTTAGTTTGTAGTCATTCCAATATGTCACAACCCAAAACGCGTCGTGAGTGGCACCCACATTTATCCTCCTATGTGAGCGAACCAACCAATCTAAACCCCAACGTCTCAATATAATAACAGAAAGTAATGCGGAAGACTTAAATCTCATTAATAAACATTGATTAAATAACTTCTAAAACTCAATAACTATTATTATCCCCAAAATCTGGAAGTCATCATCACAAGAACATCTATCTCAAATTACTAAATCTAAGAGTATCTAAGAAGCTAAAATAAGTAAAAGCTAGTCCATGCCAGAAGTTCAAGGCATCAAGACATGAAGAGGAAGACCCAGTCCAAGCTAGAAGCATTAGCTCACCCTGAAATCCGGTGTAATGAAGACTGGCTAGAGTTGCGGTTGAGTTGAAGAAGACGACACGTTTGCTGCACTCCACAAATAACAAAGAAAGAAACATACAAGTAGGGGTCAGTACAAACACCAGTACTGAGTAGGTATCATCGTCCAACTCAAAATAGAAAATAGTATATATCAGATCATATCATAAATCAACTACAATACTCAATCTGTAGCAACAACATGTACAAGAATCTTTGATAAATAACGTCAAGTACACTCATGAGGACTCAAGCCTCCATATCATACTCATTTGGGAAATAGGTTCTTTTCATTCGAATTTTATTAACATACTTTCGAGATTCATTATTTTTGTTCCTCTTGTGTCGGTACGTGACACTCCGCTCCCCTAATACTATGTGTCGGAACGTGACACTCCGATCTCCTAGTTCTACTATGTGTCGGAACATGACACTCCGATCCCCTAATTCTACGTGTCGGTTCGTGACACCCGATCCCCTAATTCTATGTGTCGATTCGTGACACCCGCTCCACTAATCTCATTCTATGAAATCATCAAGCCTTCTTTTATACCAATGCATCATCAATCTCTTTAGTTCATCAAGCCTTCTCTTATACTAAGGCATCATCAATCTCATTACTTTAGTTCATCAAGCCTTCTTTTATACCAAGGCATCATCAATCTCATTACTTTAGTTCATCAAGCCTTCTTTTATACCAAGGCATCATCATTAACAAGGTACATTTAGGATTAGAGATTCAATAGACTCATCATGCTTATTCATCACAATTATATCATCACATCATGTAAGCACACAATTAAGCATATAGAAGGTTTTATAATACTACCCAACACATATCATTCGCTATTAAGAGTTTACTACGAATAGCATAAAAACCATAACCTACCTCCACCGAAGATTCGTGATCAAGCAAGCAATTTCCCATAGCTTTGTTTCCTCTTCGTTTCCCTCTTCTCTCGATCGTTCTCTTTCCCTCTCCTTGTTCTTTCTATTTTTCTTATTCAAACTCTCTTTCTTTTACCCTAATTAGCATATAATTAAGTATAAAAGATGATGAATTAACCCATTTATTAATTCATGATTATCTCCTTTAACTCTCAAGTAGTTAAATTATTAACATTAGCCCACTAAATTTATAATTATAGCAGGAATAGTCCAAAACATCCCTTAAAACATTTAAAGAAATCCGACCCAGCCTGGGATTACGCAACCTGTGCCGGTCCGTCATGGCTGTGATGGTCCATCCTGCAGGTCCGTAGCAAAGTTCAGAGAGTTAATTTTTGTGGAAAATGTGTGACGGTCCGTCGTGTC